AAATATCTTACACACTCCATTGAATGTTATTCTTGTAAAATCCTTTCTATAAAATCGTAAATTTATGAGTATAAGAAAAAATTGAGATATAATTAAAAAAAAAAACAATTCAGACAGAATATTTCGTTATTTTAAAGATCTTTTATTCATAACTTTAAAAAAATGTTATCAATAAGAATTTTTTTTATCGATATGCAATATGATATGCAATAAAAAAATAACATCTGCATCTTCTAAAAATAAAACCACAGTCACCAATCATAGGCGCTTGGTTTCAGTTCAAATCGGCACACGATTGAAGGGCGTTATTCAATCATTTTTGAAGCTAGATCTCATCCGACACCAGTAAGAAAAGTGTAGATATTGATGAAAAGCAAGTGTGAACCGAGACACCCCCTGAAACCAACTGTCGTACCTTGGTTCTTTTTTTATGTACAGTAGATATGATATTTTTAAAACGTGCTAATTTCAGCGATTTTTTTATTTTTATTTTAATGAGTGTATCCAGACACACCTAGAAAAACATATAATACACAAAATACACCATCCATGCACCTGAAACCAAGCTCATTTTGAAACACTAGTGAACACGTAATGAATTTATTATTAAAAATTATCACCAGTGCTGTAGTGTCTCAGGCTAATAAACTGAAACTGAAAGCAACGGATGTGACGATTTCTAATTAATGTAAAATGCAGAGGCGCCTCGGAATTACACGAAAAGCCTAGAGAGGTCAATTTTGTTCTATCTGCAAAGATTTAATGATGTTAAATAAAAAGAAAACTAGAAGCGAGTGCTGCTCATAACTTAAAGGAACGCTGGGGCGAAGAGTAAAATTCGGACTGTGCACATTGCTCCAAATGAACTTTTTTTCCATAATAACTTCCGGAAATGCAATTTAATACAAATAGACAGTTTTTTCCATAACTGTGGTATTGCTCTTTCTTGCCATAAACAAAGTAAACTTCAAAAATTAAAAAAAGTGATTAGCTTTAATCCAATTTGCTGAGAGATAGTAAATTTGACGCTCAGGCAAAAACAGTATGAATTTTATCTTGACTTTTTAAACATTTATTCATTTTTTGGCAGTCTGTTGAGTGAATATGTAAAATTGTTCCAAAAATATTAATTGACAAATGTATTTCAAATTCCTAGCGTATGATACATGTAACGTGGAAAAATGCTTTGAATAAAAATATGTATGACTAAAATTCCAAGATATTAAATTTAACAAATGTATAAAATTTCTATTAAATATCTTTCTACCACAAGAAACAGTCTCCCATAAATCTTGTTTCTTTATGGTCTTATGACCAGTTTTTAAATTGAATGTTTTATAATTTGCATTGTTTAATTCAAATATGTTATAAAAAATAAAATTGTAATAAATACTTCTGAAGTGAGAGGTTATTACCGAACTTTTCTTAAAAGCCAACTAGTAACATACATGTACCTTAAATAGCAACGTATATACGACATCATGTGATGTCACAGTCTCGAACCTTCAAACATATCCTCGTGCAGTTTGAAGAGGCGGATACAAGTTTTATTTTGAAGTAAATGTGCATCAAACAACTATGCTCGCCCCTAGCGTTTGCATTGTCAACATATTACTTATTCCAATACAATAGGCAATTTAAATTCAAATATAATGAATGTCAAATTGCAAACATTGCTTAGCGCTTGTCAGTACTTTCAGTACTTTGATTCCAATTAGATATTCCTGTAGAAGCCGATTGGCAGTTGCAGCACTCCCAGAGTTAATTCCCCGAATTCACCATTCAATATCACAAAGGAATTTATTCCAGTGTGACAAATTTAATGTGTAAAACATTCCGTCTGTGTGTAACACTTTCGTTTCTCAAGAAGTTTTTGAGCTTTTGCAATGAAATTTTCTACCATAACTCCCTGTGGCCTCTCTCGCCCCTCTCAAAGTGTCCCGCCCCGTTTTTATTTATTTATTGTAATTAAAGTCGCCTGGCAATATTTTTAGGAAGGGGCATCTAGAGAGTTATTACGTATTTACGTACGATACAGGTTGTCGGCGGACTTTATATTCTAATTACATCTATTAGAATAAAGGCTAAATTGTACAACATGTATTGTTTAAAATTTTGACAATATCGAGCGTGAATATAATCATCATATGTTTGCATTTAATTCTGTATCAAGTGTCTCCGTGGTCTAGGGGTGTGACTCTAGCTTCACAAATAAAAGATTAAAAAAAAAAAACAAAAACAAAAAAGGGGTTCAAATCCCAGTCGATCCTTTTTTTTTTTTTTATTTATTTTTTATTTGGATTTACTATATGAATGATAGTATTCAGCATGTAAAATTAAAAAGTTATGACGTTTGGATTGTACAAACCTCATAAAAATCATTATTACAGTGTGATAAATATTCTATACAAAAAGAATCTTCTATACACATATCAAAGAATAAGGAATCAAATTTTTATATCCACATTGGCATTTTTTATTTGCTTCAATATACATGTATACATTTAATAATACTACAAATCAAGGAGTGGAGTCCGACCCCCCCCCCCCCCCCCCCATGCATGTTCATCTTTTTTCCCTAAGCGGGGGCCACAAATTCTTTAAAATTAGCTTTACTCCAAAAAAATGGAAATAAAAGAAAATATCAGTGGATATATTTATCAGGCGAGTGAAGAGACATGGATTTCTAATACACACACACACCTGATTATTGCACGTCGGCATTCTGAATGACACACCCACTTATTCCCTTATAATAATTTCAAAGAGTCCACTATCTTTTTAGAAAAAGTTCCTTTATTTATGCACGTTTGACGCCGATATGGATACTTTTTGCGCTTCAATCGTTGGAGAGCTACAATATCGAAACTTGAGTATACTAGTGTAACGATTTATAGCTTTGTGTAATTTTAATATGCAGGTCGGATTTTGAGGATCTTTCAGTGGCTGAAGGTAATAACGTGACATAAAAAATGTAGGTATATTAGCAAGCGCAGCTAAGCTGCAGGGTTCTTTTATTCCAGACAGTAGAGATAAGAAGACGGATATTCTGGAGCTAAGGTTAGTTGGGCGGATACCCTAATATTGATTCTTATCACGATTATTTTAGCAATACTAGTTGGATTGCCTGATGGTAAAGGCTTGCCACAATAAATTGTTAGTATTGTGCTATTACTCTAAAGAATCGTGTCTAACCACTTAAAGGCTGATCATAGAAGGAGGACAACCCCTCAAAGGCTTGCCTGGTAACCTTCTTGGACACAGTTTAAGTCTCTGGTAGCTTGGACACAGTTTAAGTCTCTGGTAGCAGTGGATGACTGTTCGTCCTGAATAAGGACAAATTAGTATATCCTCTGTTGTCAAAGGCTGACCACTAGAAGTAAGTAAGGACTTGACTTCGTGACTGACACGAAACAACGAGGCTGAATAAGGCATAACTTGTGTCTGTCCGGTGACCCCACTTTCTTTTGTAGATATAAGACCGACATTCAAGTTTCATTTTAACCTAAGTAAGGGAAGGGCCATATCTATATATATATGCAGGCCAATCATTTCATACAGTCATTTTAAGAAGATTTTTTTTGTTATTAATATCAATCCAAACCCGAGATCTTAGATCAAACCAGTTACGGACCCCTCAACACGTTATACTAACTCCCCGTCTATATATAAACAACAATACTTTTTAAAGTTATGTTATAGTATGGTTGTTAAATCGAGTGATAAAGACCTAAATGTGCCTACTTCTTTGATTCCTTTAACCCAAAAGTCTTTAAACACATGAATGCGATAAAAAAAATTCCGATTGTAGATTTTTATAATCCGTGCATGTCTGTTCATCTCCGATTTAAGGTCTCACGATGAGAATCATGCATCAAAAGGCAATTCCTGTCCACTTCTTATCCTGTGTCAGGTAGATGTTGTCCTTTTTAGATCCAACTGATTTGAAAGAAAAAAAATATGCCAAACGATATGCAATTGGTTTAAATGAGGAAGAATTACATTCCATAACAGGAAGGGCGTAAAAATATATACTCTTTGAAATGCTTTCACATGATTTTTTTTAAAAATACAAATAGTATTCCGATACACTACATTTTTCATCTTCGCTAGCCAAGAGTTTCTGATACGCTACTCTCCTCATAAACCCTTGGCATATGGTGCTGACAAAAGACGGGATTGTTTTCGTCACGTGATCACGATTCTTACCAGGTACGCACAGATTGCGTCATCGACAGAAATAAAAAGCTATTTAAAAAAAAAAAATAATGTTTTTAAAGAATAATTATCAAGAAGGTATTGAGTTATGTAAATTTGTTATTTAAACATGTTAAAATGCAAGTCTACATCTTTAGTATTGATTCTTAATCATATATTTTGCACGTAGCTTAAGATATTGGATAACACCATATAGCTATTCATAGAATAGCATGTTATCTTACGGATCGTTGTTTGCTTGCGTTTTTCATTCCCGATATTAAAGAGTCAAGATATATCCCGAACGCAAATATCGTCATTTGCAAAAAAAAAAAAAAAAAAAAAAAAAAAAAAAAAAAAAAAAAAAAAATTGCTGATTGGTCGAACGATGTCGATCAACTCCAATCACAACTTGAGAAAAAAATCCCAACCTTTTTTTAACATATGCCAAGGGCTTATGAGAAGAGCAGCGCATCAGAAACCTTTGGCTAGCGAAGATGTACATTTTTATTTCCCAACATTTGTCAGGTTACCATGGCACTAAATTTGGAATTTTTTCCTTCTTATGGAATAGTATGCAATGCTCCAGTATAATTAATTCTATTGGTTACGCTGTACCTGACATAAAAATTTAGCGGCTTTTCTTATTGCTACTTTTGCACAAGATTGTAAACTTATAGTTATGTGCACTTCAGTCGTTTGAAAGGTATTCGTATGCGTGCAAAATCATAAATAATAAAATACAATCTACTTTTTATTTCAACAGCTTTATTACTGGTGGAGTTTAAGTTAAAGAACCGGAAATGGCAAGTGGAAAGCAAGGTAACATTTTTTATTAAATGTAAAATGAATCATAAATAAATAATCCCTGTAATTTGATAAACCAACAGAACAAACAAAAAAGAGGGAGGATTAATTTATTTCAAATGAACAGTTTACAGTCATAATGTGCAGTTGGGTTACAAAGCATATAAATTTAAAGAAATATACTTTTATACTTCATATAAATTTTAACCAATGTTTTTATTTGATACTGTTTTTTTTAAATCGTTGTTTGATATACGTAAAAATTCAAATGGCGACAAATGGTACAACAAATAATATGAGAATCATATTAGAAAATTTATTTCATTTGTATTCTAAGGTCATATGAAAAACATCTGTCACGTGCAGAAAAAGTATCTATATATATGATAAGTTTCACATAGTTTAAAAAAAACTTTTTCATAGTAAAAGAAAGATTTACTCCTCTTTTCAAATACTACAAGCTTTATTTGTTACTTACTCGACTCCTTCTTTATTAAGGTTTTTCGTCTTCAGCGGAAGACCCTCTTATTATTATTCTTAGTTTTTCCCCCACATTTTAGGGTGTTCCGTCTTCAATGGAAGACCTTGTTATTCTTAGTTTTTCCCCCACATTTTAGGGTGTTCCGTCTTCAATGGAAGACCTTGTTATTCTTAGTTTTTCCCCCACATTTTAGGGTGTTCCGTCTTCAATGGAAGACCTTGTTATTCTTAGTTTTTTCCCACATTTTAGGGTGTTCCGTCTTCAATGGAAGACCTTGTTATTCTTAGTTTTTTCCCACATTTTAGGGTGTTCCGTCTTCAATGGAAGACCTTGTTATTCTTAGTTTTTTCCCACATTTTAGGGTGTTCCGTCTTCAATGGAAGACCTTGTTATTCTTAGTTTTTCCCCCACATTTTAGGGTGTTCCGTCTTCAATGGAAGACCTTGTTATTCTTAGTTTTTCCCCCACATTTTAGGGTGTTCCGTCTTCAATGGAAGACCTTGTTATTCTTAGTTTTTTCCCACATTTTAGGGTGTTCCGTCTTCAATGGAAGACCTTGTTATTCTTAGTTTTTTCCCACATTTTAGGGTGTTCCGTCTTCAATGGAAGACCTTGTTATTCTTAGTTTTTCCCCCACATTTTAGGGTGTTCCGTCTTCAATGGAAGACCTTGTTATTCTTAGTTTTTCCCCCACATTTTAGGGTGTTCCGTCTTCAATGGAAGACCTTGTTATTCTTAGTTTTTTCCCACATTTTAAGGTGTGTCGTCCTCAACGGAAGACCTTCTTGTTATTCTGATGTCTCTTCCTCACTCTTTTTATTATTAAGATCTACCATCTTCAGCGAGAGACCTTCCTATTATTACTCCCCTACCGGTGAACCCGGAGGGGACTATATGTTTCCTCTGAATCTGTCCGTCTGTCTGTCCCACTTGGTTTTCTGCACTTTTTTCTAAACGCTTTTAGATATTGAGCTGATTTTTGGTATGTGAGTATATCTTGAAGAGTTACAGATCAAGTTTGCATTTCGTTCCGCTTCAATGATTTTTGACGGAATTATGACCTTTTCAATTTCTCAGGGTTTTCCGCAATTTTTTCTTCTGAACGCTTGCAGATATTGAGCTGATTTTTGGTATGTGACTTTACCTTGATGACTTATAAAGCTGTAAGATCTTTTTTTTTTTATCTACAAATGCTAGTGATACTACGTGAAGGCTTGTCTAATTTTATTTCTATTTAATTTTATTTTAGTTTTATAAGCATTTTGGTGATTATTTTAAAGGTAAATGTGTAATGAGAAACATGTAATTTTTCAAAGCATTATGCTATATTCATTCAAGTACCCTGCCTAAATTCTATTATTAATGTATTTTTTGTTACTAACATATTTGTAATTTAAGGACCCCATTGGAAATAAGCTTTTTCAAAAAGCTTTTATGGGCTATCCTTAGGTAATACCTATCATCTGTATGTCATTTAACTTATATAATAATACATGTATATGCTCAATTAGATCTTTATTAAGTAGCATAGAGCTGAGATAATGTCTGGGTTTTTTTTCTATTAGTAGGTTAATCTGTAATGTTTTAAATGTGTGTAATCATGGCATTCTGTGATATTTTTACCTGAATAAAATGAAATGAAATGAAATAGATTAAGTTTGCATTTCGCTCCGCTTCATTGATTTTTGACGGAATTATGGCATTTTCAATTTTTAGCGGGAACCATATTACACTTGCCGGTAGGGGACTAGTATTGCTAAAGCAATACTCTCAGAATGCTTGTTCTGAGAGTTCTTTGCCACTATTTTTTTAAGTCTTCCGTCTTCAGCTTTTTACTTAGGTTTCTTTTCAATTGTTTCATTGTCATTGATTTTTCTTACTGATTTTGTGTACACGAATTTTCGGAAAAGACTTGCTTGCTTTTCATGAAATTTTCAAGTGTGAAAGAAGATCAAAAAATTTAGACATATATTTCTTTTAATTAAGTTTAGATGACGTCATTTTCTCGATTTAGTGATGTTTGAAGGGTTATTTTGTCTGGGTGTTTCGTAAGAAAAATTACTCAACATAGAAACCTGCAGTTTTAGTGATGATAGAGCAACAAAATTAATATTATGTTAATGAGAATTACTTGTTTCATTACCAACTGAAGTACAAAACTTCGACGCTCACTTTGGCCCAAAAAAGGCATATTAAGAATTTAAATCTAAAAAAAAAAATGCTTCATTACTTGTGAATATTTTGTTTCGTTAGAACATGTTGAATAAAAGTTATTAAAAATTAAAAATTCTTTCCAGCATTAAGTATGGTGTTTGCAGGATGTTTCTTTGGAGAAATTTTAATTAAACAAAAATAAAAAGAAAATATTATTCTTTTTTCTACTAAATAATTGTTGCAAATAGATAGACAAACATAAAATTCTTTTCAATAGTAACAGAAGAATAATATAGTTCTCAAATATCATCTAATGATGTCACTTCCGACGAAATATTAAAAAAAATGGCTTATTTTTATGGATATTGTCATAAAATGAAATTATAAATGTCACAGAGGATGTCGGATCTTAATTGTGAATCAAATTTCATCATAATAATCACCTCCAGTTAATACTGACATAAAATTGAATGATTAACTTCACCGAAGACTTCATCCTCACAATGTCAAGGTTTTGTGATTTGAGAACTCCACACAAACCCTTGACATAAGTCATTATTTAAATGTTGGGCTAGAAATCTTCGATTTCATTTGTTCCTGGTCTAGGATTGGAACCAATCAGAAAACAACTTTTATTGTAGGTAAGATTTGTAAACAAATATGACACGTCTTTAAAATGGAAAGTGTCAATACTGTAGGATTTGTAACTAGTTACTTCAAATGAAACTTCGGGGATAAATTTTTTGAAGATCGTCCTCCTTACAATCACAAAAGATATGCTCTGGAGTTGGGCAATTTGATAACGACGATTTTGAAAAATATATTCTCATTGATTAGTTTATAATTACCCATTACGTCATTGCTAATCACAAACCCAACTTTTAAATAACGACTTATGTCAAGGGTTTGTGTGAAATTCCGAAATCACAAAACTTTGACATTGTGAGGATGCGAAGACATCCGATCTCGTTTTTTTTCAATTTGCGTCAGTTCCGGTCAATCCAGTTGTCAGAAAGTGCTGAATTTTACTTATATCAGATTTCGATGATAAAAATTAACCAAGGATAGACTAATTGACATCATCATTCTTTGGATGACTTTTTTCATTACGAATGGGTTACCTTCATAAGCCAATTTTACAGGTAATGATAATGAAAATCGGACGGAAGACCAACTCGTTGCTTTTATATATTAAGGTCTTCTGTCTCCAACGTTTTTGTTTCTTCTTCGATATTCTTCTTTTTTTCGTACCGATTTTGTGCTCACGAGTTTTCGTGAACTAATCGGTCGATTTTCATGAAAGTTTCAGATCTGAAAGATATTGGACTGAACCTTTTCGTAAATTATCGTCGTTGATGACGTCATTTCCGGTCGCCAGTAACGGCTGATTTCTGTTTTTAAAAATGAAATTGTGTCCGCCAGTTTTATCAAAAATTGTGAAAGATTGACTCTTGTAACTTTCAGGGATGATATATAGTGACTTGTAAATGTGGCTTACACGTTTTCATTTTTTTACCATTACTTCCGTTGTCCATAGAAAGCAGTTTAAAAATATGCAATTTTAAAAACTTTTATTCCTAATGTTTAGGATAGATCCTAATAGAATGTTTCAAGTTAAACTATTTCCACTGAAAGTTGGATCTTCCAAACGGGAATTGACCAAAAACTGAGTATTTTTCTTCGAAACTTTTTGAGATGAATTCTGCACATTTCATATGGAATTTCAGATCATATTGAGCACTTCCGGTCATACCGGATGTCAATAAAAAAAGAACCGGCAGTTATTTGAAACTCATAGATCTCCTCTCCTATGTAATTCTAAACGTATTTTTAAGAACATATAGGTACCTATTCCTGTTGTATTTAGTCGTTCTTCTCAAATGAACCTATCCAAGTCCAGATGCTTTCTCGTTCCATCAGAAATCGGACAGAAGTCTAGACCTACTCTTTGCTCACAACGAGATACTTGTAGCCTCTAGTTAATTATTTTTGCTGTTTTTCTTTTTCTTCGATTTTGTTCACTCGAGTACTCAGAAAGACTTGCTCAATTCTTATGAGACTTTAAGATTGATGGAACATTACAACAGCTATCTATATATCTTTTTTATTTCAATATCGTCGCTTCCAGTTCTGAATTTTTTGCAATTAAGTAGTTTTTAGAGGGTCACATTGTCCAGCAGTTTTCTCAAATATGTTTGAAGGAGGTTGGGTCCTGCTATCAAAAGTTAGAAGATTTTTTCACCAAGCATATTTTAAGAATTTACACACCTAGCTTAATCTACCTTTTTGTACTGTAATTACGTCTAACTTATAAAACGATTTTTCAAATTTTTTCTTATTTTTTATCCAAATATCCAAATAAATCATGGAACGAATTCGAAATACAGTCTTATTTCTATCTTGTATAGACACATTTAAATTTTGTAAAAATGAAACAAATTCAAATTACTTTCAAATTATTTGACCTTTCTGCACTCAAAAATCTTTTTTTTTTTTTTTTTTTTTTTTTTTTTTTTTTTGGCAGTTAAAATTTAACAAGCAAAAAAATCATTTTAGAGAATCATGATTAAAGTCATCATTTCGTAAGTTCTATGGTCGATACAATGACCTTGTAAGCAAATACAATCTATCATTAAGCCAAATACTGATTGTCTTTTTTATTCTAATAGATTATGACAAGGAGCACACGGCGGGTGTGACCGGTCGGCAGGGGGTTATCACTCCTCCATGGCACCTATTCCGACCTCTGATGTTTTATTTAGAGGTCCATGTTTCCCCTGCTCCTGATTTGTATTGCTAAAATAGACTTTGAACTTGAATACTGTTTGTTATCTCCTTTATCAAGCTTATCAAGCATTATGATAAACGTGATGGCTTTAACTTTTAAATCGTCAACTTCCCTTACTTATGCAGCAATATACCTTCATCACCTGCATATGGATTTTATACCTCTCAGTTGATTCGATACGCAAGGGCATGCTCTATGTATGAATTTACTAATCTTCAAAAAAATATGCCTACAGGCAGTGATCACAAAAATTGAACTGAAGAACTACTCCTTCCTTTGTAATGACCTTTGCTGTAGTTTTTATTGTTTTTCTTTTGTTCACACGAGTTCTGGAAAACGACTAGCTCGATTTTCATGGGACTTTCTGGTCCGATGAGACATAAAAAAATCTAGACATATTTTTATATCGATGACGTCAGTTCCGGTGCGGAGATTTCCACGATTTTGTGATTTATGGAGGGTCGATTTGTTTGAAATGAAATATGAAGATAACGAACAGTATTCAATCTCGAAAGTTCAATGAAACAATACAAATTTGGAGCATAGCAAACACGGACCTCAAAATTTAGAGGTGGGATCAGGTACCATGGAGGAGTGAGCATCCCCTGCCGACCGGTCAAACCCACCATGTGCTCCTTGTCATCATCGAAAAAAAACGGAAAAATCAGAGACAGTTCAGTATTTAAATAATGGCCTAACAATTAGTATGAAAAACGTCAGTCAGCATTTGACTCAATGATAGGTTGTATATGCTGACAAGGTCATTGTATCGACCGTAAAACTTGCGAAAAGATGACTTCAAATGAGATTGTTGATATCCTTGTTTCATCAACTTGTTTGTCAATAGTTTGTATCGTTTTAGAAATTGTTCATACGTAGAGCATGCTCTTGTGTATCGAATCAACTAAGAGACATAGACCCCATATGAAGGTGTACAGGGTGTATTGCTACTTAAGTAAGGGAAGCTGGCGATTGAAAAGTTGAAATTATCACGTTTATCATAAAGCTTTGTTGTTAGGTTACCATTAACTTCTTTTAATAGTAAAATATCTAAATATGAAACAGATCAGAATCTGTGGTATCATTTATTTCTAGCTCACTGGGATATATCGAGTCGACATATGAATGAAAGTAACTATTGTTAATTGATAATACGTCGTCGATATATCGAAATGTCGAGTTGAAGGCCACAGCAAGTGTTTTCTTCTTCTCATGTAGAAGTTTTTGAATAAATTCTGCTTCATATGAATACAAAAAAGGTATCCGAATAAGGGGGCGCAATTGGTATTCAGGGGAACTCTAACAGATTGTTGGAAGACCTGCTCTCCAAAAACTACATAGATATTGTCAATCAGAAACTCAAGCATCTTTTTAATATCAACTTCAGAGTTCTTGTATGTACAATCAGAGTGCTTTTCAACAAAATAATTTTGTAAATGACCAATGACAAAGTAAGTGTATTTACGAGTTCCATTTTTATTGAAAAAGCAGCTGTTTATGTTGTCAAAAACCCTGGACTTCAATTTAACGTGGGGAATGGTTGTACGTTTTCTCAAAAATCGTTTTAAATAGTTAAATGAAATTTTCAGTGATGATAGAGCAACTTACGTAGATGTGAATTACGTATTTCATTACCAACGGAAGTTCGAAAATTCACCGCCCGGTATTTCCCTAAAAAAGACGTATCGATAATTTAAAAATTTCTAACACTTTTTCTTCAAAATCTTTTTACCTGTTCATGAACGAAAAGTTGTGCAGAATGACATGATTTCTCATATGATATCAACAAATAGGGACTTGCCCCTAAAATTAAGGATCTACGGCTTTTTCTTGATATCTAAAAAGGTATTAGGAAATTTCTTGATATCTAAAAAGGTTTTAGGAAGGTTTTAGGAAATTTAAAGCATCATAGAAGTAAAGATGTTCAAAGGAGCAAGAGGCAACTAGGGAGATCATAAAATGTCGCCGAATGACCTCACTTCCAGTCATACCGGATGTAGTCATAAATCGGTCATATTTGATTATCTCAATGCATATTTCAGAGAAAAAATATGATAGAAGACGTCCGACATCTCGTCGATTGCCGTAGTTTATAAGGATATGTCTCCATTCCATGAAAATTGGACGATAGACAAACTTGTTGATTTGCAACGAGCTTGTCTAATTTTCTTTATTTTTCCCAGTGATCAGCTTGTTACTTACTGCACACACTTTGTTAAATAATGTATCCTGTTTGTCAGACCTACACTTTCGGGGAGTAGTAGCCTATAGTAATCTTATTTGCTGTTGGCTTGCTCTTCTGAAGAGGGAATTTATACTTTTTTCTGTTTTTAAATGAAAAACTCGAATTTTTCGCCCCATCTACTAATGAAATGAAAGAATATTTAAATGTCACAATGTACATTTGAATTAATGAACGAAAATTAATTTAATTAGATTTCAATAATCATGTTTCTAACAAATTTAATTTCATTTTTAGAGGATATTACGATCAAATACACGATACGTAACACAGTAGCTGAACCTATGTTTAAATATGAACAGAAAGTGACGTCAAAGGCTGGTCAACCATTCATCAGGTTTATGGAGCAGGCGGCTGAGAACGATAAAAACTTTCAGTGAGTAGATTAACTTTATTGTTTACATCCCTTTAAAGTTAGGATGTACATGTATGATAGTGCAAAACCAGTATTTCCGAACAACAATGATAATTGAGAAACTTATAACAGGTTGCGTCTTGAAAATATTACACGTGAAAAATAAAATGAATTTAGTTTACAATGTAAGTATACATTAATATTATGTTAAAATTATTGAAATTGTATTAAAAACTCATAAAGAAAGTATACAACCTTAGAAGTCAAAACAGAAACACCATTCTTTTATGATTTTGTATTTCTTCAGGTTTTCAGCAACATGTTATGGTAAAATGGGATACTTTATAGAAAAGCTGGGGGGTAAAGAGAGCGTTACTGGTTTGTCCTACTGGCAGTTCAAGAAGGCGCCATCTACAGTACTGGGAGTTGGTAAGTTCCTGGCGGTAACTTCTGTCCCTACCTTTAATGCAACACAAATTGTACTTGAAAAAGCATTTTATTCTAGGTTATTCTAACTACTGCTTAGTATCTGCTAGTCTAGTGCTAGTATACACAAGACGAAATTGCTAATATAAAAACTGAGGAATTTAAATGTCTTAACTGATAAATAAGTACAATGTTAACTGAAGCACAACCATTTCACAGAAAAATGAAAATCGTGCTCAGAATTTTTTCGATTTTTTTTTCGAATTAATATTCTTTTTTTCCTATTGCTTTTGAATTCTTTATGTTTGTACTACTTAAAAACTCAGGAAAAAAATAACAAATATTTTGTTAAGACATGTAGAATAAAAGATATTTAAAATAAGAAATCTCTCCGACAGTTAGTATGGTTTCTGCAGGGCGTTCCTTAGGAGCAATTTATAAAAAGTTAAAATAAAAGATTATTCTTTCTTCTACTAAATAATTGTTGCAAATAGACATAAAAAAGTTTTCTAAAGATTGTCACGGCATTAAGTACATGTAGTCACCACACGACTATTTCAAGATTGTTTCAGAAAATTTTGGCAACCGGAAGATGGGTGGACTGGGTATGGATACGAATGTACTGGGTGACTACCAGGCGATATATTATTTGATTTTTAACTGGGAGGTTACTTCTGTTGCAACTTCGCTGACAACCATCAGTAATCAACAAATTCATATCTGGGTAAAAACGGTGCACAGTGCAAGGCGGGAAATAGGTTTTTGGGCAAGAATGTCATTTAAGGGTCTTGTCATGACACTTGGACATTTGTCAGTTCCACTCTATTGGGAATTTGGCTTATTAGATTACTAGTACCGATCAAGCAAATGTTCAATAAAAGGAGAATAACAAGTGGTGCGTTAGCAATTTTGTATAGTGCTGGTATGTATGTCTGCTCTAAGTATAACTTTTTCAGGTTAACAGGTGGTAAATGTAAAGGAATGAGGTTTCTAGGTATCGATGAAATTCAGGGCAAAATATGAATTAAACATTTTCCAATAATAACTGAGCAAGGATATTCATAAAGAATCTTTCTTTAGTTCATGTCAAAAGTTAGAAAAAAGCAGGATTCTTAGTGATCTTAATTGACATCTTGAAAAAAGAAATACAGTTTTGTAAAAGCAAAACATTTCAAACAACTTTTCTCTCAGTTAAATTATATAGGAAGAATAAGAATGCAGATTGAAATTTTTAGTTTAGGTCCAGATTTTTAATAGAATGTGTTGGAAATCAATCGCATATAATTTGTGATTGTAAGATTCAGTTTTCTGAATCAATTCTCGTGTAGCCATATTCGAAACGACCATAATAAGAACCCCCAAAACGTTATATGGGATTTTATAATTAAACGATAAGAAGTTTTGTACATATGACAATGCAAGGTTTGTTTTACTTAGGAAAAAAAAGAAGGATAATGCAAATCAATCAAAATACTAAAACACTGAACTAGAGGTACTGTGAGCACTGAGCCCACAAAATAATATACCCCGCCTCCTATATGATTAACAATGATAAAGTTCATGTTTTGCTATGGGAGACTCAAAATAAGTGTTCATCTCAAAAGGTAAAATAGGAAGTGCACAGTGGCACCATGTAACAAAAATTCTGTCGATTTCTCATGAAATTTCATTCAGTGTTATAAGAGGAGTTGCGGATAAGAGATGGGTACCCCAAAGCGTAACGGACGGACTTACAAACAGACAGACGGACGGACGGACGGACAGACACCCAACACTATATACCCTCCCTGCTTTTCAACGGGGGGGGGGGGGTATAAAAATGTTTCAGATCAGTGCTATGTGATCAATTGGCCTTTTATTTCTCATAATTTTATTTTCCTCTGTTCAAATCAACTGAACCAACGTATATAGGCCATTAATAACATTTATTTACAAAACAGTTTAGATTCTCAATAGTGTGTATTATTGCAGGTGTGAGTACCTACAATCCAGAGGATGGTGAACACATAATCATGGATTATGTACTACAAGAAAATTAAAATTGCATTCAGGACTAATATTTGTGAAGGGGTTTTTGCATACCTACATTTTTCTTGTGATATGTCTTGTGATATGCTCAGTTTTAGATGTTACATGATCATTCATTATAGGAGTTTGTTTTGCATTTTATGTTATAAAACAGTTTTCAATTAATAAATTAATTCAGAAGACAGGATGCTTAATTTTTAAGGGAAAACTTGTATCTTTTAACTTTTTTTTTTACTATATAATGGTTATTTTCAGTTTGCAAATTGATAATGAAAATATTTTGGTTCAACCTTTTTTTCAAAAATGGCATAATCACTTAATCAAAACTGATAACGTTGATGTCATCAGTAAATTGGATAAACAAGTAACTGCAACATTTTTGTGAAAAAAGAATTTCTTTTTAGATTTTTCCCGAATAATAGAGGTCAATGCAACTACACCCTGCAGTGCATTTGAAGCTGCACATAGTTCTGTCTCTAACCATGAAAATTATTATTGAAAGGATCCGGGGAACAAATAAACGAAGATAGCGTCAAAATAAAAATGAACATGAAGAGAAGCTGATCCTGCGTTCAAAAAGAACGTTAGTAAAGGTTGACAAGACCATGCTTTGTTAATCTACAAAGCAAAGCCCATATTCAAAAGTAAAACACTTGAATGTTGACAAGTGAATTTTTAACTCAGTTTTTTTTGTGAAGCTTTTAATAGATTTGAAAAAAAAGATAAATTAATTTCTCTACAAAGGCATGCAGATCATTATTCTGGAAATTCACACTATTTTGTATAATGTAACATTGATAAATCAGAAAAGTCAGGGCTAAAATATTTACTATCATTATGCATTGTATAGACGTCAATGAGTCTTATGCGAAAAGAAGTACTTCAGTATGACGTCATAACTTGACTCTATAAATACAAAACTATGCCTTAATGAAAAGTTAAAAATTCAACACTACAAAAATAAAAAAAAAATTAAAAAAATTAAAAAAAAAAAAAAAAATAATAATAATAATAACTAGTAGACTAATTGTTCTTGAACAATTAGAGGTCTTTCCACCTTCTTTAAATTTCAAATATTTTGTATATTTTACTCTCTAAATTTCATTTTTATACAAAAAAGAATCCATAAATGGCTTGAAAGATAGAAAAAATGAAAAATTTAAAAAAAATTGAAATGACCTTGACCTTTGACCTTGAACGAATATTCAAGGTCAAAGGCCAAGGGTCACATTGCACTTGACCCCATGCTTCTACAACCTTTCGTTTTAAAGTTATAAGGTTTAATAGTAAGCGCAAAGACGTTAAAGGGCGATAACTCATATAAAGGGTCATCGGATAGTTTTGCACTGAATAGATTGAAGTTGTGTCTAAAGACCCTGAAGACATTAGTGAAGGTTTTGTGCCTCTACGGTTTACGGTTTCGGAGGAGTAGCGATAACAAGGTCTTCAGTAAAAGGGGCAATAACTTTTAAAGGGGTAAATTTTAGGGGACAAGTATAAAATCTTTGAAATAGTTTTAAGAGGACATATTAATGATGCAAAGGTATTTAGTATATGTTGAAAGACAAAAGAGATATAAAAAGAGCTTAATTTCTCACATTTTGAATGACCTTGACCTTTGACCTTTGCATATATTTTAAGGTCAAAGGTCAATGAATCTTATGCAGTTGGTCTCATGTCTCTACGACTGATCGTTTTGAAAATTTTTAATTATTCGTAAACATCAAAAACTTTCAGGGGCAATAACTCATAAAAGGGGTCGACGAATACTTTCGCAATGAAAAGATTGAAGAGTCCCCTCAATTAATTGAAGACATTGGTGAAGGTTCTGTAGCTCTACAGTTTACGGTTTTGAAGGAGTAGCGATAACAAGCTTTTATTGCAAAAGGGGTTGTAACTCCTTAAGAGGTCAAAGTTCATATACGCAGGGTCAACTGCAAAAATCTTTTATGAAGTACATTCTTATGGACCATAAATCTTTTTGATAACTTTTGAAACAAAAAACCATTCGGCGGAAAAATAATAATAATAATAATAATAAACAGAACAATTTCAATAGGTCTTTCCACAGAAAGGTGGAAAGACCTAATAATAAAATAAATAAAAATGAAATGTAAATAAATAAAAAATAGATAAATAAATAAAAAATAAATAAATAGAAAAAATAAATTGAATTATTTTTTTTTTAAATTCAAGATTAACAGAAATGGTATGTATGTCAGCTTATTAATTTTCAATGCATTTATTATTGAAAAGAAATTACTTCATTGATAATTCATCTTTATTAATATCACTGATTCATTGATTAATGGTAAAAATGTTTTCATCTAAATAAAGATGTAATATATACCTATAATGTATTATCAGATCTCCAGATAACAAAAAGGATAACCTTTCAACTTGATGATTCCCTGGATCATACCGATATTTCTGCAGACTAAACTGCACAGCACAATAAATGCGATGTGTTGAAAAAGTTTTCTTTTTTTAATCGAAACTATACCTGTGGCATGTTCAAAACGATTTTTTTTTACTAGATGTACCAGTTTTTAGATTTCACTTGATCACTTTTGGCATTGTAATTAATATCCGGAAGTTCAAAACGATTCGCGTTCATATCTTAAACACTCCCATGTTGAGGAGTGCCTATAGTAATAACAGTAAACCCTTTTAATAAAATCATAAATTAATAATGATCTGGTAAAAAATGTCAATAACACAATAACAACTGAGACTTAATTAATCAGATTTGAAAAAAAATATTTTACTCATAATTTTCATATTTTTCATTAAGGTATACTATAGAACTAATAAAAATAACGTCTCGTTTCTCCATGTGTACTTTCTAACACATAAATGATTTCTATAAATACGCGTAACGGGTCTCTTGTCTCTCTCTGAGACTCTATAGGGGTTGTCTTATCTTTCGAGGCAAGATTTGCGTTTCACAGCTCAACCTGAGTTAGGAAGGTTTG